GTCTTAGCAACCATCCCTCCTAAGGTACTTTACACATGGAATGCACTGAACATTTAGTTACTCAAATGCCTGCACTGTCCTTGCCTCTGTGCCCTTGCACATGCTGTTCCTCTGCCTGGAGCTCTCTTTTCCAGTGAATCCTAGTCATCCTTCAAGTCTTGCTATAGATACTACATTCTCTAGAAAGTCTGCTCTGCACCCTAATCTGGAGATGGGGTCTGCTCAGGTAATCATGCAACATCCTGTACTTTGCTAGTGGGGTTTTATTATAACTGTCTTATGTTACCTGTCTGTATACCATGAAAAGCTACAAATAACGGGGTGGGCTTCTCTGATGAAAATTAAATACCTAATACCTAGCACATGGTAGGTGTACAAAATATTTTTAAATGAACGAATGAGCACGTCATTTTAAGAGCTCAGGAATACTGTTTGCATTGGAAGCCCTTGTTATCTCTTCCGAGCAGCTTTCCTAAGACTTTTGTCGGAAAGTAATCCTTTTATTACCTTAGTTTGAAATGCTCTCTCTGCTTGAAAGCAGTAACACTGATGTCTTCAAAAACTTTTCTGTAATTGAGGAGTCTCACTGACTTAGAGCCACATGACTATGGCTGATGCAAGATTACAAAACTGTAATTGTGCTGATATAAAAACTTACAAATCAGGTAGACTAAGACCACTCAAATGTATTGTGTGGTTTACATAGTAGACATGTTTATCAACTTACATAATTTTTAAAAGACATATTTAATCTTTGAATTTGTTTTTCTATTTTAGGCTTTGAATGACACTATATAATTTATATAAATATATAAGATATCTATGTATTACATACAGATATCTATGTATTACATCTATATCTATAGCCTACTATACATATAGGCTTAATCAAAAGTGCAACCATCAACAACCCCTATGCTAGGCTAGAGAAAGTTTTCCTGTTTGTCATGTTTCTTATTCAATGACAGACCCACATTGATCTACCAAAAACAAACAAAATAAAACAAAAACCAAAACACAAACAAAAAAAAACTAATGAAAACAATTATAGATTTTAAATCTTGCCATAAATACCCCATGAAAAATGTTTGCCTTCTCCTATGTTTTCAAATGCATCAATGAATTCACTTGTCCCCAAGATGAGATTTGAATCTGCATGTTTTAAGTTGGAATAGCTGATGATTGAACAACCACAATAAACCTATCATTTAAAGTGCTTCCCCAATTTGGCTTAAGCCTGCAGACCAAGAGGGACAGACATGGGGCTTTTGTTGCCAAGTGATGGCTCAGACCCACTCTGATTTCACATGAACTTGGAGAAGATTCAACTCTGTAACTTGTTCCGTAATTGCTTCTAGCAGATTTTCCCCTAAGCATCAAGGCCCTGGCTCATCAGTGCTTTGACTGTCCAAAGAGATAAAAGCAAAATCCAAACCACCAGACTTCGTGCCATGTACTGAATATCTGAGCCCTCCCAAAATTTATATGTTAAGTCCTAATCCCGCATGTGATGGTATTTGGAGGAAGAGCCTTTAGGAAGTGATTAGGTCATGAGGGTAGGACCTTCATGAAGGGAATTAGTGCCTTACAGAAGAGAACCTGGAGAGCTCTCTATCTCTGTTTCTACCATGTAGATAATATAATGAGAAGGCAGTTGTCTGCAACTCAGAAGAGGGCCTTAAGCAGAACTCAGCCATGCTGGCACCCTGATGCCAGGTTTCCAGGATACAGAAGAGCATGAAATAAATTTCTACTGGTTAAACCACGCGGTTTATGGTATTTTGTTATAAAACCTTGAACTAAGATACCTAGGAAGGACTGTAACTCTGCGGACCCTCTCCTTAAGTATGCTTTCTCTTCTTAACCCTATTTTTATACTCGAAAGCTTCCTTATTCATAGGGGAGATGCTAGAAATATTTAATACAAAGTAGAGGATCAGTAGGCTTGAAAGAGTTAAAGAAATATCATTTATGAACATGAGACATTTGCTGGAGTAACAACCATTTTTCCCCCTTTCTTCTTAAAACATAATCCCAATTTCTCATTGGGCACATTTTCACCTACGAAAAAAGTCCATATTCCCAACCTCTCTTTCCGCTGAGTTGAGTGGGGAACTAACTAATTTCTGATCAGTAAGGTGTAAGGAAAATCACTGGATGGGACTTCTGGGAAGTTTCTTAAAAGGGAGGAAGTGTACCCTGATTTTTACCTTCCTCCTTCCCGTAATCGGTAGATAACATTGCAGTCATATTGGGAAGGATGTCTTTGCAAGGCTGAAGCCCTAGCAATCATCCTGCTTCATAATGTGAGGACACAGGAGCAGAAAGATAAAAGGGGTCTGTGTCCCTGATGATTGTGGACTCCAGGCAACCTTGACTGCCTACCTTCAGAGAGACCAACCAGCCAATGAGCCATCCAACCAACAGACAAAAAGCTTCTATCTCTTCTAGTCACTGTTACTTCCAACATTTTATGTATAACATAACCTCATTCTTACAGATCAGCATTTCTACAAATATCAGACATCATGTAAATTACTTCACTCATGTAAATTGCTTACTTCATAGCAACTGTAGAAGGTAGGAATTATTATCTCTGTTTCACAGATGAGGAAACTAATGTTCAGAGGGGTTACATAACTGACCTAATGATAACAAGGTAGTAAGTGGCCAAGTCAGAAATCCTTGGTGAGAATCTACAATTTAAATTTTTTTCCTGTATTACCCCACCACTCTCTAATGCGGGAGTAAATCTCTCCTTGTGTGCCTTCACCTAATCTCTTAATCTTTTATCCCCTTTTAAAATTAAGATTAAAAACCTCTGCCTACTATAGGAACTACTGTGAGGCCAAGTGGGCTTATTATTGTGCAAAGCACTGAAGTCCTTGGAACATAATCACTGTTTAATTTACGTATACAAACAAAACTACTTAAAATGTTTTTGACAACAAAGGAGTCAGCAGTTAAATAGGAAGATTTAACTTCCAGCATAGACAAAATTAACTATACTTCTTTAAACTGGCTTCCACAATTAAACTCCAAATCACTGATTTATTTCTTCTTCCAGAAACCTATTCTGTGTGGCCTAGCAGTTTGCTGGATTGTGTTTTGCAACCACTCAGTCCACAACGTTGCGTTGTCACCTTGCTGGGGTTGCCTTTTAAGGAGGTATCTCCTGTACAATTTTGGAGGAATAGATTGTGTTGTTACAAACAACTCATAAAAATAACTTTGGGCCTATAACCTAGAAGCAGTTCAACTGGTTGTCGATCTGCAATAAGACTTTGAAATTTTGGAATAGGAAATCCACATTTCTTGGTCTAAGGTTTTATTGTTTGTTTTGTTTTCCCTCCATCTCCAAAAAGAATAATTTGAATTCCATGACTCCAAAGGCTGAGACCACCCTCAGATTCTAGGCTCCCTGTAAAATGTGGCATTGAAAAAGCTTCATGGTCATGCCCTCGCTATGTGACTAATTCTGGCTATGTGATTTTAGGCAAATTACATAATTCCTCTAAGCTTTAGTTTTCTCATTAGTAAAATGGAGATCATAATATGATCTAAACAACACAGAGTTGTGGAGACCTTTAAAGGAGATAATGTGTGTAAAGCCCTGTGTTAGTTTAATTTTTCTTTAATAACAAATTACTATAAAATTAGTGGCCTAAAATAACACAAATATATTATCTTTCAGATCTGAAGGTCAGAAGTCCAGTATAGGTCTCAATGGGTTGGTATCAAGGTGTAGTCAGGCTTGTGTTTCTTTGGAAGCCTCTAGAATCATTTCCTGCTCCTTCAGGTTGTTGGAAGAATTAGTTCATTGCGGTTACGGGACTGATGTCTCTATTTCCTTGCTGACTGTCAGGTGAAGATTTTTCCACTGTGGAGAGGAGTCTGAAATTCCTTCGCTCACTGGCCCCCTTCCACCACCCTCAAAGCCAGCAATCCAGATCAGGGTCCCCCTCATGCTTGAAATCCCTTCTGCCTCCTCTTTCATTCTCAGACACCTCTTTCAAACACTTCTGTCCTCCTCTTTATCTTCCCCTTCCAAGTGCTCAGGTGATTCTTTCAGTCCCTCCAAATAATCCAGGATAATCTCCCTATTTCAAGGTCAGCTGGGTAGCAATCTCAGTTTCATCTCCAACTTTAATTACCTTTTGTCATGTAACGTAACATGTCATATGTCTCCAGAACAAGGACAGGGACATCTTTGGGGCTATGATTCTGCTTACCATGAGCTCTCAGCACAGTGTCCCAGCACATGGTAAGTACTCAATAAATAACAAGAACAGCCAATACTTACGTTTACTCTCTGCCAGGTACTGACCTACTGCTGTAGAAGCAGTTATATGTTTTATCCACATACCAACCTTCATCACATGAAGTATGTGCTAGTATCATCATCCTCATTAACAAACGAGGACAGGAAACACACAAAGAGTAAGTGACTTCAGTGAGCTGCAGAAGAATAAAGATTTGAATCTAGGCAGCCTGGCTCCAGAATCTGTGCTTTTAACTGGCCCCATTCTGCTGCTTCATTTTAAATGTTATTATAACAGCCAGGAAATCAAGAAAGCCTTTGCTTAAGCTAATACCAGTAATGCTAAATAATTTCCATAGAGGGCGACGGCAGTGTTGGTATTCATCTGGCAAATGCTGTCATCACATCTTCTCTCTGCCCTGAGATGTTGGGCCACCAGGAGCTGAGGAAGTCCAGGGCTGACTTTCCTTTATCATTCCAGTGGGAGGCTTACCAGGCAAGTGGGGAGGAAAATCTTTCCTCAAATAAAGTATTCTATGTTGGAAGAGGCGAAACATATCCCTATTTTTAATACCATTTTGAGAGTATTACAGAAGAAAAACACTGCTATTGTGGTCTCTGAACACCTTGCCTTTTATTGAAATGCAACTGCATTTTCATTTCATACCGAAAACCTACTTCGGCATCACTATGGAAAGCAAGAGCAAATAAATCACCACCTTTTTGGACAACACAGTACCTTTCATTCTCCTGAACGAGCACATCTCCTCTCTTCCAGGAAGAGAGCGCCCTGGGGGAGGCTCTGGGTTTACAATCCAAGCTGACATTGCTGCCCACCTGCACCTGAATCAACTTTTTCATTGGAGTCTTTGAAAAATCCGGAGCAGAAGCTGAAAGGAAAGAAAGGATAAAGAATGAGAAATAGACATTTTATTTTCTTTAAATTCCCACAAATTTCAAAGGTTGACTTTATAATGATTTTTTTTCTTAAGTTTCTTGACACATAAGGTATCAGTATTTGATTTATTCCATTGACTGGGCACCACATACAGGGCGACTTCAATGCCCAAAAAGTAATCCCTACTTACTGTGTTTTCTGCCAAGTTCTAATTCTCAAGACAATTTATACAGGGATTTAAAAAGTTTACTATGAAGTTTTAAAATAGCTCAATCATGAGTTTATTAAAACTAAAAATATTTATCATAGAATGTTCTTGAAAGTTAGTTCCATGAAGGAATAGTAGAGCCAGGCTCTCTTGTGACTTCTAGGACACCGCAGCTGGTACGTGCCTGGCACTCAGTACATGCTCAGTGATGTTTTTAGAATAAAGGCTGAGTATTGAATTCTTATTCGCTTGTATAAAAGTGATCAAGATCTATTATAAAATTTTCATGTGGTTAGGTTTAACTTCCAAGTTGGCCAAATATATTATAACATGCATTATTACATTGTTACAATATTACCTAAAATATAATATGTAGAAAACATTATGTTTGCTAATAATGCGTGGAATGCTGATCTTGAAACAGTAGTTGATATTCAAGATAAATAATAATGTATGCTTTGAATGAAACTATATATTAACCTGAAAATTATCCTTCTTTTCACTACAAATGTGGAAAAAAGGTAAGAATTAAGTGCATTTCCCCAAATATCTAATCCTCTGTCTTTTGGTATATCCCAGTGAATATATTTTTTTTTTTATCAGTGGAGATCGTACAATGAGTTAGACTACATATGTAATTGAAGATAAAGAAGACATGGTGTCCAGAGGTTGCTGGTCTGAAGAATTAAGATCCTAAGAGAATAATTCTTACTAAAAGAAATATAAAAAAAAGTTCATATATATGTATATTTCAATTTTTTAAATTTTTTAATTGAAATGTAGTTAACTTACAATGTTAGTTTCAGGTGTACAGCAATGTGATTCTGTTATATATATATATATATATATATATATATATATATATATATATACACACACACACACACACACACACACACACACATATGTAAATATACATTTCAGATTATTTTCCATTATGTTATTACAAGAAATTGAATATAGTTCCCTGTGCTATACAGTAGGTCCTTGATGTTTATCTGTTGTATATATAGTAAGGTGTATCTGTTAATCCCCAAAATAGGTTTATATTTGAACAAAATTTTTTTTTAAACGTAAGTCAAATTTTCTCCCATACAAACACCCCATGAAACATGGAGTAGGGATCCATCCATTCTAAAAATTAATAATGGCTTGTAAGGGTAATTTAATACAAGTACAGCAGTGCTTCAACTTAATATATATGCAAATTCCACTTCTCTCGGTCAAAACACCCTACTTCTCTGTCTTGGAAAATACTAATCAGATTTTCAGCCAATGATCTACCCTCCCAAAGGTTCAGTCTTGCTAGTGCAGATGATGTGTCTCTAACTTCCATGCATCAAGAGAGATCTGTTTTTCTTACATCAGTGTTTTCTGATTGGAACACTTGACATTTTGAGCTAGATGGTCATTTGTCCTGAGAGGCTGTCTTTTGCACTGCAGGAAATTTAGCAGCTCCCTGGTATCTGCCCACAAGATGCCAGGAGCACATGCTGGCTTACTCCTTCCCAGTCCTCCCCTTAGACTATGACAGCCAAAAATGTTTCCAGACATTTCCCACTATTTCCTGAGGGCAAAATTGTCCTCAGTTGAGAAACACTGAGTTAGAACAATCAGGGCCTTTCAACCTTCTGGCCATTTGGGTTGGATGAGCCATGGGTATGTGACCCAAATCAGGCTACATGGGACCAATGACACGTAGGACTGTGACTTCTATTTGAGCAAATAAGAAAGCCATCCTTCTTGCACTATGTTGACTGTGGTCATGAAAACTGAAAGTGCTGGGACCATCATGTCACACCTCATGGTGGTGATGATGTTTGAACCCTGGGTCAGGTCAGACTGAAATCCAAATTTTCCATTTTAATTACACTGAGCAATAAATTTCCTCCTCTTCTCTCCTCTTTCCCTCTCTTCTTCCTCTTTCCCTTCCTCCTTCCTTCCTTTCTTCCTTCTTTCTATCCTTCCTCTTTCTTCCTTCCTTCCATCCTTCCTCCCTCCCTCTCTTTCTTTCTTTCTATATATTATGTTATACTCTGACAAATTTTGGTTGGACTTTCAGTCATTTGCTCCTTAAAGTGTTTTTCTGGACAATTGCCCTAAACATGATATAACATTTTCTTTCTTCTCCTATACCTAAAGTACAAGAAGAAGAAAATAATTAATAATTTCAAGGAGTTGACCCTTGGTTAATTAGAGCTTCAGTGTGTCCAGCGCTGGGTGCTTGCAGGGTTATTTAAGACAAAGACAACTCCTTTTGGATCAATAAACTATTGATTTGAATTCTGATATTCGCTTTCATAGACCAGCAAAAGAGAACAGCAGAGTCACTTATTCTCTTAAAAGGTATTGCTTGGTTCGTACTATTGGAGTTGGATGAGGATGTCTTAGGTCAACACTTTCTCCCTATGATTTTTCTACTTCAAACTTTGGGGCTGAATTCTGGCCATAATTCCTGCCTTTCCTTAGGAATCATTCAAATGTATGCCTTGATTAGAAACCTTGCATGATTCTGCTGTAATACTGTAGATGTTATTAGATGTAGGAATCTAATATAAAAAGTAAATATTTCAGCTTCTGGGAAAAGTGGAGGATTTAAGAAAATAAAAAATTAAAAGGAGAAAGTTAGTCTTACCCACAACCTTGAGCTCAGCACTGGAATAGACGAGACCATGTTTGTTTTCTGCTATGCACTGGAACATGCCAGAATCAGTCACATTTAGGTTTGATATTGTAAGGGCTCCATTTTCTATCTGTATTCTCTCCTAGATGATAACAAAAACGTCTTGCATATAAACATACATACCATTTCAGAAGATAAGTGGTAACCACTGAATGTTATTTCAAACATACACAAACCTTCTTAGTTTCCCTCTACATATTAGGCAATCTGACTTAAAATTTAAACTTTTCCCTTATTTGCAACTATGAGACTGATTCTACATAAAAGACATTGGAAATGCTAATAAACACCCTTCAGCCAAAAAGTATATCTGTAAAATAAATAACAAAGCAAGATGTACAATACTGCAACCATTACATTTTTTGCTGTAGATAAATTTGTAGACTTAAAAGAAGATGTACTATGCTTTCCCCACTATGAGCTAGAAAGGGGTTTTCACCGTTTATAAAAATCATGCAAATTAAAGACATTATAAATTTTGTGTATTAAAAAGGGTTCTGGGAAAGACACATTCATTAAGGGTTTGTAGATAGTACGAAAGGTTATGTGTAGAAATTTGAAGGAACATAATTGACTTAGTACACAATTTTTAAAAAGAGCCAAAATCACATGGCTGAAGAAGAGAAGTGATTGAGAAGATAAATACTCAAATAACAAGGTAAACAGGTAATCAATACATGTATCCTCCAGAGGCCATCCAAGCTATCAAACAGGAAAAAGGAAATTACCTTTTAAAATTTAAATTAAAGTAAGGCCTTCTCTAATTTCAAAAAAAAAAAGTTCAGTTGACCCTTGAACAATACAGGTTCAGACTGATGCTGGGGTCCACTTATTGGCACATATTTTTTCAATAGCAAATACTAAAGTACTACACAGTCCCTGATTGGCAGCATCCAAAGATGCAGAAGAACCCAGGGCACAGAAGACTGACTGTAAATTATATGACAATTAACTCCTGCATTGTTCAAGGGTCAACTGTATATAATTTTATGGACTAAATTCATAAAATCATCTTTTCCCAATGAAATTCAATGATGAAAATATTTCCTCCTTGGCAGACTTATGTCTTTTTCTTCCTTACCACTTCTTAGATGAATGTGGTATGAACTGTTCAGGTGACTGTGTGCAAATGCAACAGTTTACTTTGGCTCTAGGTACTATGGAAGGCATTTATTTACCACAAAGTGGGGAGAGGGAGGCTAAATAAATCAGGCACACTATCTTACCTCCAGCACAAGGGCTTCTCCATTTTTCAACCATCGGTAGGAGGGTTTGGGCTTACCGCTGGCCCGGCATTCCCAATAAAGATTGTCCTCCACTGCTATTTCCACATCTTTTATGAGTTGAACCCAATGAGGCTTTGCTACAATAAAAAAAAAAAATCAAACCACTCCACAGATAAAAAACAAATACTTTATCCACATAAATATAAATGGATATGACTATGAGCAATAGATTAATATAAGCATAGTGGCTAAAATTGTATTTAATTCCCTAAACATCTACTAAGTGGATATATGAAACATTTCTAGATTTGAGGATGGATGTTGCAATCTGCCCTTTCCTAAGCCAAACTCATTACATTTTCTCTGTTTTCAAATTTCTGGGCATTGTATTTCATTCTTCAGATGTCTATTAGTAGAGAGGAATGCAGGTACACAAAATAGGTTTTCTTGTCCAAGTGCATTTTTGAAATATAAGATCACAATTGATGATAACCTAATACGTGAATGACAGCAAATACTAGTCTTAATTATGCACTAAAACTTACCATCCATAGAAGAGAAACTTCTATAGCAGAGGAAAAAAATATTTCCTTCAAGTTAGAAATAACTCTTAATTAAATACAAACCAGTGAGCATCTTATAAACCTCTGTGCGAATTAAAATGAAAGTAGCGAAAGATGGATAAATTGGTTCAATTTGAATCATATGATTTTTTATGAAAAAGAAGTAACTCAGGCAACCTTAAATTATGCATGCAAATCAGTTGCATCAAGTAGACTTATCATTTTCACTTACATTTTAGAAGATGCTTGGAAAGTTCTTTTACAGATGAAAGCAACATAGCACTTACAATGAAAGACACTCAAAGCTCGCAGTATATTTGGCCAAATCTCAGCTTGTGTTTTAGATCTGAGACTAGGAGGTGAGATGTCTTCCTGGTTTCACATTGCATTATGCATGTGATGTGTACCGCGGGGCTCACATTTGCATCCTCCATATGGAGAAACAGTTTATCTATTTCTATTTAATTTCAGCCATGGGAAGATTTGTCTTTCCCTTTCTATTTCATAAAATTGCTTTTTTTAAATAAATGAAATTGAAATGAAAATATAGCTATTTAGCTTTTAGAGAAAATACACCCAATTAAGTTTTACCTTATTTTGTTTTTTTAAAAAACATCAGCAACCTGCCCAGTCTGAAGTGTAGTTCAGTCCAAAATCACTTCTCTCTCTATCAAAACAGATTTTCCTCTTTCAGTAATTATCAGCCTAGGTGCAATGAGACCACAAAGAGTCTCACACATGATCCCTTGACTGAAGTTTCTAGCAAAAAATGTCCACTGGCCGGGAAACTTCAACTTGGTGTTACGTATTCTAACCTAATAATGTAACCAGATGGGGAGAGTTACAACACAGAATGACTCATGCTATTAAGCCAGGCCTCCACTTTGTTCCTAACAGATCTTATAAGCTTCCAACAAAATAAGTGTTAATCTAATCAAAGGCAACGCACTCGTAAACTTCACCTTCTTTTGAGGGAGATCATAATAAGCTTTATAATTTTAATATTTGTCTTTGCAAACGTTTTCCTCCCTGCAACATTGATGTATGCTCTTCAAGTTTGCATTGCCAACTACTTCCATTTCCAGTTTCTAAAATAAATAGCAAATGTTGCAATTTGCCTTTCACAAGTGGCCAATTCCCACTTATCTTACAATGTTTCTCATGATGAAACTGCAAATATATATTTACTGGGCTTACATCTTGACATACTTTATAGTACATTTTGTAAAACCATTTATTTATACTTTCTAGATCATGCTTTAAAAACCTAGTTTTTTAAATAAAAGGGATCTGAAAACAAATTTTGAAAGAAGAGGTAATCTAAATTTCCTACAAATAGACTGTAAACAAAGGTAAAGTTATTAATCTATCCTTATCCAAATTGAGCATCCATCAAATAAATATGATTACAAATTAGAGACAGCAGACACAGTACACATACATTATTGGAAAGGAAGAATAACACTGAAGAAGTCAACTGAGCCTGAGTTTATGTGGTTTGTCTAATGCAGTAATTGCAAATTTTCCCAGTAGACAGTTTCCTTCTGCTTAATAAAGATCATAAAGAAAGATACAAAATCCCATTTTCTAGAGGTGTGGGCAGACAGAAAGGAGATCTCTCCTTGATATGGTTAAGTGGGTAAGTGTATTCTTAGAGGGGAAAAAAGTGAAATATTTCATTATCATATGAAACAGCTTAAAATGCAGGAAGAATAGATTATGGCTCCAACTTCACTGTAAAATTGTATTTTTTTGATTCCTTTTATGATAATTATTTATCTTCATTTAACAAAATGTAGAATAGAACAAGTCAGACATTGGAATTCTGCTAAAAATCTTCTAACCACTTCCCCAACCCCAATAACAATAATTTATAGAGAGCGCCAAAGTAAAAAATCCAATATACCCAAAGTGAAGGCTCACCATAGTAGGTAAGACGCCCCCTGGCGACATTTCTTCCCCGTGAATTCTCAGCGATGCATTCATAGGAACCGGCATCTTCCTGTTGGAAGGTGGGGATTTCAAGCACACCACTGAACTTCCTCAATTTAATTTTACTGGAGAAAGGCAGTCCATCACTTCTTCTCCAATTAATCTGAGGTACAGGACTAAGAAGAAAACTGCCAAGTTATTTGCTCATGTAAACAGATGTCTGGAAGCCTTTTAGGCTTGAAAAAAATGAAACTTTTGTTAGGATGGAGCAAAAAGGGCACAAGTTTTCACATGGAGAACAGTACCTCTACTTGTCTGTTTATTACATAAACCTGATGCAAAGATTTATCTCTTGAAGTTGATATTTTAATAAAATAAACTATGCATTTTCTCGAGTTAATTCATGATTTAGAGAAAGAAGTCTGAGTCATACCCACCATATTATAGCACAACAAACGAACAAGCAAACGAAAAACAGCATCAATTTAGTTTATGAAATTAGGCAGGCACAGTCATTTTCTGCAAATTGCCTTTAAAGTTTCAAACTAAATTATATATGTGCATTTCCCCTGTATTTTACTTTTCTTTTGCTTCTAAATGAAAGAAAATTTTAGAAAATAAGGAAAAGAAGAGTCTGTCAAAAGCTATCTTGATCTCTTACGGCAACCTAATATTTCAGCACATTGGAGTAAATGTTATAAAACTTACTTTCCAAGGGCAAAACATTCCAATTTCACAGTTGAACCTTTAGCTGCTGGAAGAGTTTCTGGAAACTGAACTTCTATTTTCGGTTCGTATTCACCCATCACTCCTGTAAATCCACAATACAAAATTAATAATTTCAACGTTTCCTTTGGAATTGCTCCATTTTTTTTTAAATAAAACTTTTTTTTCCTTTATTCCATTTTGAACTAGCTCGTCCTATTGATTTAAATTACTAACTAGCCATTTGGTAGGTACTTTTAGGAGTAGTGCTACCTTGGGCCAAACATGCAACATTAATAAACATTCAAGAAATTTGGATTCCAGGATTCATAACTTACTGCTTACAGAGCAGTTCTGAGAAAATCACTAAGCCTTTTACATTATATAAAATGGGAGCCTTTTTTATCCTGTATTCAATTTGGACATTTCTAGTCATATTGAAATATACAATGTATTATGACTTCTTAAAATATCCTAAAGAGCAAAAATTATGGGAGGAAATTTACTTAATGGTATCCTGGTAGCACAGACACCAATCTCTAACTTATTAAATGGCTCCCTGGAGACAAGAAATGCTAACTTAATAAATGGGAAAGGACAAATTCAATTACAACTGACTGGAAAGCAGTGCTTAGATACTGTGCATTCATGGCATTGCGTTGTATCAGACATGGTTTTGTGTAAGTGGGACAGTTACCCTGGCTTACAAATATGCTTCCTCTGCAGTTCATGGGCTCCCTTGAAACAGCCATCAAGGGGCTGAAGAAACAGGTATTTTCCCTTTTTCTCCCCTTCCAGCTTTATTGAGATATGAGTGATAAATAAAAATTGCATATATTTAGGTTGTACAATGTGACTTTTTTAGGGTGTACAGTGTGATGATTAAACACACACACACACACATTGTGAAGTGATTACATTAGTCAAGTTAACATATCTGACATCTAATATTGTTACCATTTTTAATTTTTAAATTAAATTTTTTTGTAGTGTGGACACTTAAAATTTATTCTCTAAGCAAGCTTCAAGTATACAACATAGTGTTACTATAATTACCATGCTGGTGGGGGTAGGGGAAAAGGGGAGAATGTTGGTCAAAGTACACAAGCTTTCAATTATAAGATGAATATTTTATTTAGAAATGCTTTATAGCCTATAACAAAATATCCAGAACTTTAATAATCTCAAGCTGGCAAAAGTCAGGACACGTGACTTCATGGGAAGGCAACGAGAACCCCAGAGTCAGAGGGCTTCACACTTGCTTTAATGGCCTATTGCCGCCATCTTGAAATTCTATACTTTTTGAACAAGTGGCTCCTCATTTTCATTTTGCACTGATTCCTACAAATTATGAAGCCGGTCTTGAGCAAGAATTATGTACATGGACCTATAGTTGATGGAATCATTTTAGTTACCATACTTATAAATATTTTTTGTTCTGAAAAAAATGGTAATTCTTCAGGATATACTTTTCACTTCTCCCTATTTCTTTCTTCTTGTATTCACAACACCATGTCCACTTAGAATTGCCCCTTGAAACATTTCCTACCATCAGAACGTAGCACCAAAGGAGTTGGGGAGCCCAGCACTCTGGCGTTTGTCACTGTACTTGTCACCACACAAGTGTAATTTCCTACATCAGACGGCTCCACCTTCGCTATGTAGAGGTGGCCGGTCTCTTGAGACACAAATCTCCGACTATCTTCTTCCACAAAGGATGGATACTCATTGAAGATCCAAGCGTATGATAGTTCTAATAAAATTTTTAGAGAAAAGAAATTCCATCATGAAGGAAAGTTTTCCACAGTATATTAAAATACACAAAATCACCTTCAGTGCAAAGCAATGCTGGGTGTTTTTATTGCAGGTCATGAAGAGAAATGGCTGTGTGAAATGACTCTGTGTTCATTCTGCATTATTATGGAGGACACTGCTGATTAGCCCTCTTGTGGGAGTAATATTATTACTGTCATCATTATCACTACTCCAGATACCTCCTAACAAGTCTCTCTGGTTTCAGTCTTGCTCCCTTTTAATTTGAATCTCCATACTACATGGTCTACAATCTTTCAAAATTACCAATCTCATCACGTCAACTCCCGACATAACACTTCCAGCAATTCTCTGTAGCCTCTGGAATGATGCAAAACTGCTTAACTTGAAAATGAAACCTTGCGTGGTTAAGCCCCAATTTAAAAGATTTTTGGCATCTGAGAAGCCCAATCCTCTCTTTTGCATCTGGGACTTAGCATATGCTGCTTTTAGAGCTTGCAATGTCCTTTTTACTCTGTCCACTCTTTGGCTTCTTCCCCTTTCAACATCAAACCCCATTCTGTCATAATAACTTCCAAATGTTTCTCAAAGCTTGGTTTCAAAACCAGGAATTACCTCCTCAGAGAAGTCCTTCTTAACCCTGCCTTCTGAGTAAGAGCTTCTATATAAGCAAGTCTACACTTACATTACTTAACATACTTAGCACTTTTTATGTAATGATCCATTTACTTACCTGTCCTCCCACCACTTGGTAAACAAGTGATGTCATTTTTTTTATCCTGCCTGTCTGCCTCTCCCTAAATTAGTAAACTGAAACATCCAAGAACATTTAATAGCCTTAGATAAATATTTATTGAGTTAATTAAGATAAAATTATGCTATCTTCTATGTAAATTCTAATATTAGTGTTTTCTTGAACTTTAGGATCCAAGTAAATCAACTTTCTCCAAAGGAATTGTTGTTCTTCTCCTCTGTGATAATGATGGCTAAGTACGATTATGCTGCTTTGTTCTAGATGCACGTATTTTTCAGGAGCAACTTGTTATTTACATATAGTTACTGTGGTGTATTTGATTTCCTCTTTCTGTGGCTCTCTTATTTTTTTTTTACATTTTCAATAATCTTACTGCACTGATTCATCTCATAATGTTTCTCCAAAAGAATTTTTAGAAAACATAGGTAATAAAGATCAATTTAATGAATAACAAGTTCAATACTATACTTAAGGCACAATTCCAATAGTGAAGGGTCTCTCCATTCAGTAGAGGGGGACAGTAAGTCAGTCTCCAAATAACAATGGACAATGTGTCAGGACTGGGTGAGAGTGACTACGGGTTTCAGAGGAAGGAGAGGGGATATTCTCATGACTGAAGAACAAGTCTTAAGGGACAGGAGGTCATTCTGACACACAGGGATGAAAGTACTCCAGGTGGAGTGAAGTGCATGCCAAAGGCAATCAGGGTAAAGAGTATGCTAAGCACCTGGTGGAAATGAAACGTGACTCTTCCTTTCACCTTCAAAGCAAATGTGAATGTCTGATGATTCCAAAGGTTAGCAAGTCCACGGCATATTGTGCAGATGTTCAAAAACATTGATTTGTAATGTCAACCTGATGTTTGTCATGCTTATAAAGGTAGAGTGTTTCATGACATTCCAGTCAGTCATTTGATAGGTTGTGAAGTCTATCAAGTTGCTTGTTGGATGGTATGAAAAATGTGTATCTCAAACATCCACTCCACATGTGGCCTAATGCCTACCCTGATGGTGCAAGAGCACTAGTATTAAATAAAGCACACAGTTAAAGAATGCTGGTATGGAAAGGTTACTTTGTTCTGCAGTTGTTAAAACTGACAGCTATTGAAAAATAGTCCTTCAGGCTAAGGATGACTAAAACTCTAGAAACTCTTATCAGTGAGGAAGACAAGATCTTAAATCTTCACAATCACCTTACCCTGGTTTACTGTACTTTTCCTGATCAGCTCCCACAACAGCCCTCGCACATGGGCCCCCTCCCTCAAACCCAACATTTTCTTGTCTTTAGCTGGAGATGTTATTTAAGGTGGTGCCTTGGGACATTTCAGGGAGTTAAGCTGTTTTCCTGGGTATCTGCTATGTATATATGAGATATAAATGTTATTCAAATTCTGTTTGTTTTTCTCCTGTTAATATGTCTTTGATTACAGGAGAGGTCTCAGCCAAGAGCCTGGAAGGGTAGAGGGAAAATTATTTTTCCTCCTCCACAGACTTCTGACCTGAAAACTGGAAGACAATATTTCTGTGTTGTTTTGAGCCACTAAATTTGAGGTGATTTGTCACAGTGGCAACAGGAAACTAATACAAATGATGATGACAGCTAACACTGAAGGGTTCACTATATGTCAGGTACAAAACTGCAATCTAGCAGGACACTGTGCCTCCCCCCGCCCAAGCGAGTATAAATCCTTTCCACACCCCCCATTTCTTGTTTGTAGGAAATTGGCTTCATTCAGTCTCTTTGACCTTCCCTGAGTTCCAAAGAGCAGATTCAAACAGTGGCTAATCAGGGAAGGGAGGAAATGTATAAACAAAGGAGGAGCAGTCACAAAACAATAGTGCAGCAATGGGACAGGGTCCTGGTTCCTCCTCAAGGAACATACATGACAATACTTTTGAGTTCTTCTGCAGGAACTAAGGCCTCCCATGCAGGTGGAGGATGGCAACTTCAGGCTGAGCACAAGATTCCTGTAGCACCACCCTGTTACCTCACCACCAGCCAATCAGAAGAAAGTCTGCACACAGTGGAAGATAAGGAAGACCCTGACTTTCCCCAAATGATTCTTCCTTTAAAAACTTTCACCAGTGAGCAGAATCATTGGAGCTGGTTTTTGGACATGAGTTGGCTTTCTCCCCAGGTTGCTGGCCTCCTGAATAAAGCAACCTTTTCTTTCCAACCAACAGCAGCCTCTGGGGGTATTGGCTTCTGAGTGGTGAGCAGGCAAACCTGAGTTCAGTAACAGTACTAAATGCTGTAGACACAATTTTCAAAGAAAAACAAACACCCAGAGACAGAAGTGGAGAAAGCCTGCACTTAGAATGCCTAAGGAGGAATCAGATTTTATATAATCTGTTTATCAGATCAATACCGTTTCAGGGAGGGGTAATTCCAAAAGAGATGTCAAACAACAACCAAAACCCCAAAGCAAATGCATCAGCGATTGATTGTTTTGTACAAAAGACTCACGGAAAGAAATCAAACTGTATTTACTATGGTATATGCTGTCATGAGAGGTACACAGAATTTTGTAGTACTGATCTAACTTTCTTTACAGACTTTCTCGTTGAGATGGAACAAAATATAACTTCTACGTATTAGGGAGAGGAGAGAGAAGATTTGCATTATTTCATTTACTGCCTGCATGTCTATGTTAAAATATATACAGCATCACTCTGATTGAAAACATTAGAGAATTATGTGATTTATCACATTCTGAATAAAGTAAAAAATACCTGCTGTAATACTATCAGAGCTTCTTCACCATAAAAATCTGCATTTGCAATAAATGTTAATTGCATACTGCCAAGTAAAATATATATCAAATCAGCATTCTTTGGAGATTTTTCAACATCATTTTATGCACGATGATAGATACAAAGCTATAATAAAATGATAATTTTATATACTCAAACGAGCTAGGCTTTACAAAACCTTTCACAGCCTCTTGTATAAATCACAAGCATATTATGCCAAAATTTCTTCGCTGCTGGGCTTTCTATTAACAATGCTATATGAACATTAAGAATGGGAAATATTTTTTATTAAAGAACAAAGAGGTTTTGCCAATCAAAGCTATAAATTAACAAAATGGAGTCCTGAAACTCTGCTTTCTAAAAAATAACGTTTGATAAATGACATCACTCCTCCAGCCACATCCCTTTCCTGGTCACTTCAGTGGAAGGCCAGTCAATTTAATATGAAATATGTCACTTTAGTGTTTACCTGAAGATACATTAATACACATACCACTGACATTTAAGGGTTGATTTCTAGTTCCATTATAAAATTCTATTATGAGTGAGATTTAATCCTTTCTATAGGCTTTTTCTAGAAGAAATTCTGTCAAAGAAAATAGCAGTTGGGCAAATTTGTGCAAGTAACTTTGGTGACTTTCTGTGGTGCCAAGTGGAAAGTTTGACCTACTTTAAAATGAAACATATTTAAAAGGGTGTGAGAGCTTGCCTGATGTCACTCAAGATTTTTATCACTGATTCATACAGCTGGGAAGGAAGTTTTGCTATGGAGTTTACACATGACACCACGTTGATGGAGGGTCTGGGACACAGTACATATTCAAGTAATGTAGAAAACTGAAGACAATTTAAGTTTTCAAAGAATAACAGATCAATGGTTAAGATTGAAAAGTCTGTACCTCAGAGCAGAAAGCATCTATCACCACCTCCAACATTTCAGTGTCTTGTCTTTCAAAAGCTATTTTGTGAGTTGTTGCTTTGGTGACAATATTACTTATGTAAGTTTCCTCGTTTAGCCCATACGTGTCTGCCTAATCTCTCCTGATGCAGAATCCTAACAAGCCTGGCTTGTGAAGGTCCTAAGATTAGGAGACCAGTGATCAGGGAGGGAAAACACTAAGAAGGACATTATTTTCCTCCTATTAGACTTGAGGGGCCAGGGGTCAGCAAGGAATGGTTAGGGGGTCAAGCCCAGCCTGCTGCCTGCTTTGCAAACTACATCTTTTGGGACAGACTCACGCCCATTCAACTGCTCTTGTCTTCGGCCACTTTCATGCTGTAAGAGCAGACTGAGCAGCTGCAACAAAGACTACAGGGCTCAAGAAACCTGAAATGTTTATCTGACCTTTTCAAGAAAAATTCTGTTGACTCCTGGTCAAGGTTAGTATTATCTCTAGACCGAATTACAAGTTTGGTGATCCCTTAGCCATCTTACTTATTTATACTCTTGTTTATAGGGCCGTCATGCTGTCC